GTAACGTAACGGAATACGTTACAGAATACATTTTGGGGCATGTATTCTGTATTCTGTAATGGAATACATTTTAAAAGTAACCTTCCCAACACTGGTGACAAATACAGTAAAAAAAGAAAATCACAAATGAGCAAAAACAACAAAAAGCAAAGAGCCAAAATAAACTGAAAATGAATCAAAGGAAAATCATGATTTCATTCAGAAACAAAAGTGGGGAAAATGTGTTGATTTAACTGTCTCTGTGTTTGATGACGTTTGCATCGTGTGAATTGTTGCGGACATTAAGATGGAAACTATGAAGAAGCCTTTAAGTTTGATGGTTAATGTTAGGGTGGGAGTCATGGTCCTCACATAGATTCAGGATTCCCTGCATTCATCCTGGGATGACGCTGTGTGGTGCGCACGGATTGACTTGATTTGAGTTTAAACACAGATTCTCAGTAAATTATTATCGCTGTTGTTTTATTATCCTGAGATGAGATCAGGGAATGACAAACAGAATGACTACGTTTAACACAGATGGTCTCAGTGGTCTCTGGTTTCGTGTGACTTAGTTCAGCTGTGCTGATACACAGGAGTTAACCTGAAAACCAGAGCATGCAGAGACGCAGGGAGATGGGAGATGCAGCTCAGCACTGTGATGCCACAGTGCTGAGCTGCTGTGAAGCCTGAGCACACGTGTGATGGAAACACACATGTGTGCATGTTTGTGCCTCACAGGTTCCCAGTGGGCTCACTTTATGTGGACCTGCACTAAATGCTCATCACTTGTCCTTCATCCCACACAGTGAGACAACTTCCTATCATTTTACCAGCTCGCATTTAATAAAAGGCTCACAGGAAACACGATGCTCAGAGATTTATTTATGCTAAATATATTTACTCACCAGGATATTTAAAAAAATAAAATAAAATGTTTGATTAAAATCAGTTTCCATCACATGACTGTCACCAAGCCACCAGAGCGTGTTTGTGTTTATTTCTTATTTTCAAAATTGTTAAATTTCAGACTGTCCCACACAAACATCCTTTA